ACATTAGCATTAAAACCTAGGACTTACGTTTGTGCTTTTGAATATAATGTCTGGTCTCAAACATTACATGTTCTGAGGCAGGGTGGAGGAAGAGTTGGCTGAAAGGTCGACTCATAAAAATAAGGTAATATAATTGTATAACAGATATGTGACACTGCATTATAGCGGGAAGGTAATGGCGCTCCATGCAGTCATGCTGGCCACATGACCTTGGAGGTGTCTATGGACAATGCTGGCTCTTCAGCTTAGAAATTGAGATGAGCACCAACCCCCAGAGTCGGACACGACTGGACTTAACGTCAGGGGAAAACTTTTAACTTTAACTATTCTACAATACTTCTGTGTAGTCTATTAAAAAGTATGATGTAGTCTGATAAAAGTAGGAAAATAGAACAATTACTATACAGCTATACAATCAGCAGAAGAAAATTAAACATTTCAGCATATAAAATGAAATTAAAGGTAGTAATAAAATTACGAAGGCATAAAAGTAATAAAAGAGTTATTTAGATGTCTGAGGATCAAGCTGTTTTTCAAACTGGTCAGAAGTTTAAAAAGGGGGGGGGAGCTTCTGTTCCAACGGTGGAAGACCGTGGAAACATCATGTATGGATTTCACAGCGAGGAGGCAGCCTTCTTACACACTGTGAAAAGTATTCATGATTAAACCCAGACTTTGAACTCTTTAAGAATAGAAAAAATATGCCTCTAGAAGTTGGTTATCCAAGCTGAAGTTTTTCAAGGTCCTTTGACCTTAGCTATTCTACAGCTGTAACAAAACCTGCTGAAACAAAAGTACTATTGTAACAATATTAAACTGACATGATCAGTGGTTTCAAGTGTTCAGTGAGCCAAAGCAAGAATTACATTTTATGTGGTGGTTCTGAATTGTCGTCTCTGAGCAAAAATGAACAAACAACTAAATGGCATCTGATTCACTGAAATAATTTATTCCATTAAACAGTCATTATTTTCAAAAAGTAAATCAACAGGACTGGGGAGCAGCAGAAACCAAAACAAAAGGGGGAGAACAGACCAGAAAAAAACACGAAAACATAACTTATTAATAAGTTATTTGTTTAGTACCTACTAACCTTAGTTGATTCAAGCAAGGCACATAGAGATAGTAAACATCAAATTTAATCAGATATTTTTGATACAGACTTATCAGTATCAAACAGAATAACCAATTAGGTGTAAAGCAGGAATGTAATTCCTCCATTAAAAGTTTGTAAAGGAGGTCTACATTTTAATGAAACATAATCATGAACAATACATCATCATTAGCATATGTGTATAGATACAGTTAAAACCTAGATGAAAGACAGAAAATGTTTTCAAATTAATTTTTCATTATTGGGTACCAGACCAGGGTCATTCACTGTAGGAAAATATCTGAACACATTTTAGTAAAATTATGCCAGTTGTTTACAGAGGAAAAACAACTATTTCAAGATAGATTACTCCTCTTATGAATTTAAAAGAATTAACAATCAAATTATGGTAGCTGCAAACAGAGATTTTCCAGAGCCTAGTGGAAAACATTCAATTTGATAGTAAAAAAACTGCAAGTCTCAAGTCATTTTGCAATTAACTGGAACTTTAAGCTCCAATTAATTGCAATCAATTCAAAATCTAATGCTAAAAGTAGAACAAGAATGATTTACATATACATTTATTGATAGTTCTTGAAACAGTCAATAAATCAAGAGATGTCAGTACAAGAAAGAAATCTTGTAAAGGTTTGGAGTAAGAAACTAAAAAGATGTTTTTACTTCCTCCACACCCAAGCGCAAGGTTCTAATGCCTAGTTATGAATTCCAGGTTCATCCGTTGTTTGAGGGGTTTTTTTAGTTTGAAACTATTGGAACATCAACAACATCAACAGCTGGCCAAATCACAACCCAAGAAAAGGAAAGGATCAATGGTAATGCTGCTTGGGTCACTGAATTGAATCACTGTAAATCGGTGTGGTAATGTTTGGAAACATGAGGTAAGATTCTCCACCTGGTCTGCTGCTGTGAATTAGGAGTTAAATCAGGAGCATCACACCAAAACTGATTTGAGAATGATTGGGTTGAGACAAAACCTACACACACAAAAAGTTTATTGATTTAAATGATCCAGTCGGTGTTTGTGGTGTCTTGTGTCTTCACACTGCCTGTTGACTTGTGATTATTATTATTATTATTATTATTATTATTATTATTATTATTCTTTATTTGTACCCCGCTAACATCTCCCGAAGGACTCGGTGCGGCTTACAAAGGCCAAGGCCCTCAATAAAACAACAGCATAACAAATACAACAATAAAAACTCAAAAAAGCAAACCAATAAACATTAAAGCAATAAACAGTAAACATTAAACAATAACATCATGACACATTTAAAAACAAAGGGCCGGGCCAAATGCAATGAATAAAATTAAAAGTGCTGGACATGACAGGTGAAATGTAAGGATTTTCGAGTAGGTGCAATGTGCAGACAATCTTAAATCTCCAATAAAGTGCGTTTGGGACACGATGCTGAGTGTTTCCTATTCTGATCACATGAACATCGAAATTTTAATCAAAGATGACTTTGCCTGTTCTGTCCTAGCCCAGGTGCTTAAGGAGAAGATAGCGTATACAGTCCTCCTGACAACAGATGCAAATTTTCATCAACACCTATGCTACACAATTATTGTATTCCTATTACTTTAACTAGGATTTTAAGACGTTGCCAGATTTGTATTTCCTTGAGTTTAGACCTATGTTCAAGAGCTATATCACCTCACCAAACAACAAATCCCAGAATTCTGTAGGATGAATCCATGGTTGTTACAGTGGAATCAAAGTGCTATAGGTGTGTAATGTGAAAGAGAATCTAAATACAGAGAACTTGTCTCAATGTCCACTATTCCCCAGGTTGGTGCCACTTTCCTTTTCTCCCAAGGCAAAGGCCAAAAAGCATTCATTTCTCTCAACCTTAAATATCTGAGCCGGTCATGTAAAAGCAAATTGTAGGGACATTTGGGAGAGGGCAACGCCACCTTCTCCTTTCTGCCAGTGGACGGATAGCCCCGACTCCCTAGCAAATAACTCATATAACTCATCTACTGCTATGAATGTTTATTTTACATTTGGCTGGTCCTACCAGTTTGCACAAAGGTTTGTCTGTACTTAACTGTGTGTCTATATGACCTTTTATAAGTTCTCCTTTTCGTTAGTGTCTTCACCCTTGCCATCCCTATTTGGAACTGTAAACAGAGGTCCATTATCCGAAGACATGGCCCACTTGGAGCTCATCTCTTGGGAATTGTAAACAAGCCCCAACCACCCACTCTAGTTGCAAATGTCAGCTCAATACAGTTGTTAAACCAGCTTAGTAAAGTCCAAATGTCTGGTATTCTTTTGCCAAGTTATTCAAATGAAAATAATTTTGATAAAAACTGAAGCTACAACTACCAAACACTGACTAAATTTCTTGATAAATACGACTTTTATCTCCAATCCACCCACTCTTCATAACCTTGGATCACTCTTCTAATATCTACTGGAATTCTACCTTGGCAATGATGGTTTGACTTTTTCTATTATTGTACATTGCAATCCTATTATCTGTGAATCCAATTCCCACAGTTTCACTTCTCCATGCTCCAAAAAAAAAAAATCCCTTCCCCCAAGAAGTGTGAGATCGCTTCTTTACATCCTCTGGTGCAATTTTATGTATTGTTTCAAGTCCAGTATTGTCAAAACTTTAGTCATAGTGCACATATGCATCAGCACTAGTTTCAGTGTCATCAATGGTGGAATGATACAAGTAGGGTTACATAATCATGCTATTTATAAGCTGTCAGAACTCTAAAAGCTCCCATCAAGTATAGCACTTATCAACATATTCACAGGCAAAATGAAGCAACTGAATGAAGTTTCCTCATGAATGGATCCATTTATACTTGTGAATAGCTAAAGAAAATGCATTTACATACATCAAACCAATGTTAATTTCAAAATGAAAAGTGCTTGTGTATTGTTCTGTGCTGTACTGTTGCATGAATCATCAGTATTATACATTTTGATGTGAATCAATAACAGGTGCTATAAGTGACATTTCAGAGGAAAGAACAGGCAAAAACCACCTCTGAGGATCCCTTCTATTAGAAAACACTGTGAAGCCCATGGGTTGCCATAAATCAGTGGTTCCCAATCTTATTTTGACCAGGGACCACTTGACCAGGGACCACTTTGACTAGGAACCACTCTCCAACATTAGTACCAAAAGGGTTACAAATCAGTTTTTGGTCAACTTTAGATACGGTTTGGCTATGTGGGGTGCTGATTCAGAAAATTGTATTGGGTAGACCACATCAGCTCTAGTTTCTGGTACAGAACATATACCATCCAGTAGTCACCATCTGCTCACCCACAGAAAAACATATTTAATAATCTAGAGCCGATGTGGTAGTTGTAATCTTTCGTAGGTAATCTGCCTCTCCCCTTCCAACATCCCCTTTGCCTTGGCACTATAAGAGGGTTTCACAAGACCAGTTGCTTTCGTTTCCATGTGGTTTTGAGGCAACAGTGCAGTAATGGTGAAACTGCAGACCATATTTTTGTTCTTGAGGACCACTAGTGGGCCATGGACCACAGGTTGAGAACCATTGTCATAAATTGACAGGCTACTTGAAGATAAGTGCACACACATAAACACACTTATACATACAGACAAGGTATTAAAGAGAGCCAACATGGTTCAGTAGTTTAAGTATTGTGCTAGGACTCTGTAGATCAGAGTTCAAACCCATGCTCAACTATCAAAACCCACTGAATAACCTTAGAAAAGTCACGCTCTCTCAGACTCAGAGGAAGACAAAGGTAAACCCTTTCTGAAGAAATCTTGTCAAGAAAATCCTGTGATAGGATGCCATAAGTTGGAAACAACCTGGACACACACAACAATGGTTTTAAACCTTCCAGCCAATAGCCATGTAACAGTTTTTAAAATGAAAACACACACCCTTTCAAGATTAAACATTTATTTCATTTTAAAAATTAATATGAAAACAGAGTTAAACATTTGCATTAAATGTGATCTTCTAATATACTTAAGGTAGAGTCATTCTAGGTATGAAATATTAATGAAAGTATATTTTCCTTGTAATTATTTTCCTTCCCAAAGATGTCATTGTTATATGATAAATTTTGGTTAAAAGCATGTAAAATCTACATGTCCACAAGTATCCATTTTTGTGGGGTAAACAGATTTCAACTTTTAAAAAAAAAACTAGAAATACAGGTCGAATAGGTGTACACTGCCATCTAGGCAAAGTTTTGAGACCAGCACTGAAATTAAAAATGAATTGCAATCATCAATGCAATGAATTGTTACTTCAAAAGACATTAAAATTGAGATTATCTTTTACATTAGCAGCTCAAATGTAATGTTTCGGAGTGCTGACATAAAACCATTTGAGTGAAAAAATCTTCAAAGAAGCATTTAATATACATAGTACCCTTGAAGTAGTGTGATCAATCCTAAAATTATAATTAACATGAATAATTAACCGGATATCAGATTCACAGAAGTATTTCTATTATACTTCCGAACACTTTAGAATAGAAGTAGGCATGTGTAGCCTTCCAGATGGTGTTGAATGATAATTCCTGCACTCCCACACATCTGACTGTGTTAAATTGAGTTGATGGGAGTTACAGTCCAACAATATCTGAAAAGCTACAGCTGTCCATGTATTGCAAAGGGGAAAGAACAAGAAAATGAATTAGGCATTCATGTAAACAATTTTTTTGTAACAGATGATTTGTATGCATAATTGAAAGAAGCAGAATTATTCTTTTTCTCCAGAAAGCAGAATCAGTAGCATTAGAAGCCCTATGAAATGGTGGCATGTTAAGGATACATCTGAATATGGCTTCCAAAAATCATGGCTTAATGAACAAGGGTTATGTATGCACTTTTGTGCAGCCCCTTTCTTGCCACTTCATCTTTCCTTTTCGCAACCAACAGAACAAGTCAGGATAAAGCACTTTAAACACGCAACTCAACCACAGAGTTTCAATTTGGGTGACAAATACTGGCTTATCTGCAAGCACTTCAATATATTTTCAGGGTCACACATTATGGGAAGCTACAGTTAAAATTCCGAATGCTGTCTTGTTCATATAAAGGAAGAAAGTGCCTGCTGCTTCTCTACGTCCATCACAGGGGTCAGCATTCATATATCAAATTGCTTCATTTTGTAACCTGTCCTCAACAAGGATGTTCAAACAATTCTGTGGACTCTTTGACTAATGTAATATTTTCTGGCACAGGACAAGACATTCTGTCAGGCACACTGATCTGTATTAAGTCACAAAATTTATATTAAGGACATATTAAGTGCCTCAAAATATATCTCATTTACAATTATCTACCTACCTGCTGTACCTGTCCTTCTGTTTTGCCCTATGTTGGAAACCGCCCTGAATCCTCTTGGAGAGACAGGGTGGTATACAAATAAAGTTTTATTATATTATTTTATTATGTGTTACTTAGGAGCATATATACAACATATGTATACAAAATGCTGATAAAATTATGGGGTAGAGAAAATCTCCCTTAAGAGGGATCTTCCTATAAAATCAATGTTAAAAGCACCTAGCAAAAAAAAAAAAAAGCCTCTAAATGTATTCTCCTGGAATTCTCAAAGTTTCTCCCATAAAGGCACCTCTGTTGTAATGTAGACCACTTGGCATTCAAATTTACCCAAAGAAACATGTAGGACATTACCTCAGAAAAGGCCATCACACCTGCAAATTTAATCCAGTTCCCACAACAAGGAAAACCCTAACAGCCTTTTGTTGATGTTATCAATGATCCTCAATGAGTAACCACAAAGCTTTGAATTTCCTGACTTGATGTTCTAATCTGGACTCAAGTCAGATCACATTTCATTCAAAGTGGTCAAAGCTGAATAGGGTTAATTACCAAAACAAGGTCGGAACACTCTCAGCCTACTAATTTATACACAGCAGAAGAACTATAACAAGGGCCAGCTCTCTATTCTTTTTTGCACATAGCAAAAAAAAGTATGTGTGTGTAATGATTTTAATTGTTCAAAGGAATTCAAACTATACCCATTAAGTTTGTAATTTAGCGTGTCCCCAAACCAGCTCAAATCAGGTTTGAATCAGCAAATGTGTGTGGAGAATCGTGTTCTTTTTAAGATTTCATACCTATAGGCTGACAGGTTCTTTGATTATTCTGATTTTACAATGATTTTTTTATAGTAATAGTTCATAACTGCTTAAAGGGATCTTAAAGTATACAATCACTGAAACTTCTGTTAATAGATGTAAAATTCCTAACTGTGAACAGTTTAATAACTTATGGCAAAAATACAGACCAAATGTCTATTGATTAACAATAAATTTATTGAGAACGACTGAAGGCTTAATTTATATGTTATAATATCTAGCAGTCTTCTTATGTACAAAAAGGAAGGCTGGTTAAGAACCAACATTTTCTAGCAATTACCTGTCCTTCCTTGATTCTGCAGCTGGCAAATATTTTGCAGCTTTGATGAACAGCCATGATGAATGTTGAAAATAATGCTATAGAGAAAATTATCTCAAGTAGTTCTTTTCTTCAAAAATAAAATGTGTCCTCGTTTAAGGTGAATAACTGCAGACAGGAGCATCAATTTATTCTTGACCTTCTCCCTTTTATAAAAACAGAAACAAAATATCTTACAATGTTTTATTGTTTCAACATTCATCTCTCAACATTTCAATTTTACTACTATGCTCAATAGGAATAGGATGAAGTCATACAGCAGATTTCCTTAAGTGAATGAATATAGGATTGACTTGCCGATCTTACAGTTGATAACTATGCAGCTCAACAGCAGAGCAGACCATCAGTTCACCCTACTCTGAACCAGTCTCTACTTTCGGAAATACACACTCAGAACTGGAAGACTGTTCAATGAGGTCATCTGGAATTAGGACCACAGCCAAATTGCTGCTAAACCACCTTTTATTCCTGCATCTCCCTCTGCATGGAGGTCAAAGCTGAAAAAACACAGCTTTGCCCAGTAATGTTGCCATTATACAAGCAAGGTCATCATTCCTAAGCAGAAATAAATAAAACCTGGATGGTTGCTACTGCTGAGGTTTTCACAGCAACACCTTCAACTCAGGAAGACTGCCACCAAGACATCATAGGTTCTACAAATTACATCCTTTCCAGAACAAAATAAGAGGGTAAAACTATTCCACCTAGACAGATAAAAATGAAATGCAAAGATACAGAATGGGAGATGCCTGGCTCAACGTGTGAAAAAGATCTTGGAGTCCTCATGAACAACAAGTTAAACATGAGCCAACAATGTCATGTGGCGGCTTTAAAAGCCAATGGGATTTTGGCCTGCATAAATAGGAGTATAGTGTCTAGATCCAGGGAAGTCATGCTACTCCTCTATTCTTCCTTGGTCAGACCACACCTGGAATACTGTGTCCAATTCTGGGCAGTGCAATTGAAGGGAGATATTGACATGCTGGAATGTGTCCAGAGGAGGGTGACTAAAAGGATCAAAGGTCTGGAGAACAAGCCCTATGAGGAGAGGATTAAAGAGCTGGACATATTTAGCATGCAGAAGAGAAGGCTGAGAGGAGACATGATGGTCATGTATAAATATGTGAGGGGAAGTCATAAGGAGGAGGGAGCAGACTCGTTTTCTGCTTCCCTGGAGACTAGGACGCGGAACAACGACTTCAAACTACAAGAAAGGAGATTCCACCTGTTCATTAGGAAGAAGTTCCTAACTGTGAGAGCAGTGGAACTCTCTGCCCCGGAGTGTGGTAGAGGCTTGTCCTTTGGAGGCTTTTAAACAGAGGCTGGATGGCCATCTGTCGGGGGTGCTTTTAATGTGATTTCCCCGCTTCTTGGCAGGGAGTTGGACTGGATGGCCCACATGATCTCTTCCAACTCTATAATTCTATGAAGACATATTTAAACAATTACGTTACAAGAAAGAGAAACTGTTAAGCTTTACTCACAAGATGGCATGCAATGGTCAATATATAATGAGGTTTCCCAAAATGACAAATTTCTCAGGTGTTGACCCTCCTGAGTAACCTGTCACATTCACCAGGATCAAAGTCTCTGGACTGCTGTACTAGCTCGGATATTAAAACGCATCCTAAAAGCAATTGTCATGGCCTTTTTGGCCACCTTTCCTTTATATCATTTCTTTTCCTAGGCCTGTGTGCCTCCTCCTGTTTATTGCTATGTTTGGCCTGACAAACATTCCTATAGTGGAAAGATGTTGCAGCAACTTCTAGAGATAATCTGTCCACTACCTTGCCACTCTTTCCCATATTTAATCATTTGTAGTCAGTCTCAAATATTCCATTCTTCAGCAAGGCATAGTAACATTTGAAGATCAGGTCCTTTCCCTGAAACCCTCCAGTGATTTTATGGATATTGCAAACAGTATATTCCCCCACTCCTAGAACCAGATTATCTAGATTGTGATTCCTGTAAATTCTGGGATGCAGACATCCATCATTCCTGTTTCTTCTGGACCTAAGAGCACATAACCATCATTTGTAGTACAGTATTCTTTCTAAGTTAGCTAGCTGGGTGGAACTGTTTTCAGTGATTTTCACCTTCCTTGTTCAGATATTTTCAGAAGATGATGCAGGCACTGACTTATGCCTTGCCTCTAATGTCCCACTCCTGATGGAATGGAAATGCTGTTTGTTTAAATAGCAACCACAACAACGATATGAAATTTACCTGGGGTATAATTAGAAGAATGACAAGAACCTCCAACATAGTCACATATGACTTAAAACAGAAAACCTTTCCAACATGGGAACTGCTTAAAGGGGAATTGAAAGAGGAAAGCCAACATGATTGAATTTCTTCCGAATGCTCAAGGTTACTCAAAGCCGCAATTACAGCAGCGTGTATATCACACGTGTAAGGAAAAGTAATACAGAGACTAAGGTAACAGCAGTGTCAAGAAAGCTCGTCAACCCTTTTAGTGAATTGTGGCCAATGATAAGCAAATCAATCCAAGTATACTGACAAGGAAAAGAAATGGTGTTACATATAGATGGAACCTGAGATGGAACTGACTGATCAAGAAAGAGGCCATGGGTTTGTGAAAGAGGGAATGATAAAAATGTTAATCTAGTGTACATGGATAAAATGTCACTGGTTAAAGTATAATGTTTGTCTCTATTGAACATTAAAAATGAAGAGATAGTTCTACATGGTCTGAAGATTCATACAAGAATACAGATTTATCCACCAAAGCCAAGTGTGACTTTGGTAGGTAAAAGAAACCAATTCTTCACAAAAAGTACAATTAAACACTGAACTTTGCTAACACAACGTACTATAATGATCGTCATTAATCTGGATCACTTTTTATAAGGAGGAAAATTAATGAAGGATGAGGCTATCAGTCATTATGTCAGATTTCCTATATATTACCTCCAGATTCAGAAACACCAGAGGAATCTAAAGGGGTTATTTAAAACCATTTGCTTCTACAGTGTTCAAATGTAAATTTTATATTTCTACTGCTTTATTACTTTTTATAATGCCTTTACTCATCAGACAACCTTCTTTTGAATGTTCCCCTTGTTTTTATTATGTATTTCAATCAACAATCCACACTCTCCGCCAATCATTTGCTTTCAATTTTTGATGTGGTTGTGGCCATTTCCTTTGTGGGTTGCGACAGTCCTACCTCTTTTCCAATCTCCAACTTTTGCCACCCTCCCCTTCCCACATGAGGACAATGAACAGCTGATTTCCATTCACTGTGGTGTGGAAAAGTGGGTACCTATAAATTGGATGACATTAATCTGCCTTGTATGTTATTTTCCAGAGCTTGCTTCCAATGAAATAACTTTCTTACTAACTACTGAAGCATGGCTATATATACAGCACTGTGTTGTAGCCAGTTTACCAGCTGTTAGGATTTCTAGGAGTTGAAGGCCAAAACATCTGGGGACCCACAAGTTGAGAACCACTGCTCTAAAGGGTCTTAAACAGGGAGCTCAAATTGTTCCCTGTTTAAGACAAAAAAAAATTCATGACAGGCAGGGAAGTTTGGGGGAAAAAACAGAGGGAGGAGTTGGGGAAGCTGGATATAACTTTTCCTTTTTTTTTTTCATGAGAAAGACAGTATGGCTAGGATGAAAGTGAATTCCTTAAATTGGAACACAACTACTGCTTTACCTAGATTCCCCTAGTTTGCTTCTGTCAATTGGTTTCTGACAAACAAGAGAAACTGCTATTGTGCACGGTTTGCACGTTTCCCATATGTAACTGGTTGGCCCGTGTGTGAACAAAATGTCAATTTGGAGGGGTCATTAGTTCAACTACCATTCACAGGGCTGTGTCATGCCCTCCTACTATTTCTCAACTATTATAATGATTTTTTTTCAGCAAGTTGTAAAATCAAGCTATTACCTGGTCAAGATGACATAGGAAATTATGGGAAGAGCTCACAGCCTGCAAATACTTTCCCTCTGTTTTCACACAGTTGCTTATCATGTTGGACGTCTAGCATTGAAAGGGTCCGGAAGTCCCTGATCTATCCAGAAATAACTTTATCGCTTTAACCATGTGCATCCAATGGCAAAGTCAAGCAGTGACCCATTTCTAGCAACCTCTCAGAAAAATTAAATTCCCTAGATTCTCACATAGGTTTTAGTATATTTTGGAAACACTGTAAAATCTTTATATTCGCAGTGCCTTTCAGAAGCCAAGAATAAGATTTAAATACAAAAATGAATTGCTTATTTTGCTTGGTCTGATTTTATGGAATATTTTCTATTTATTTTTAAACCTTTTCTCCCAAGTCCTAAAGACATGGGGGTTAAAAGCTAAATATATACTTAAAACACAAATTACAACTAGATCTATAAAACTTTACAGTTCAAATATGTCTACACCAGTCTGGTTGGCATACGTAGTATTTGGATACTGTAGGCTTCACTTTGTTGACTACCACGATGGTAGTAATTTTAAAAATCAGTAACAAAGACCTGCACAGACTACACAAAGCATTGCTACAAAAGGGAAAATAATGCCTTAGAACTTTCTTATTTCTATCTCTGCTCCCAACAACAAACCATTTTTGTGTCAAAATTATGGATTTTTATTACATAATAGGTAATAATTATATAATAATAAACTTTATTTATACCCTGCTACCATCTCCCCAGAGGGGACTTGGCTTACATGAGGCCAAGCCCGGTGATACAATTACAGCACAATAAGTACAGAATGACAAAAATAACATCGCAATAAAATAAATAAAACATAAGAATACAATATAAATGGAAATATTTATATACTTGTGAGCACCTTAGAGCATTGATTACTTTCCTACTATGATTTATTTTGATTTCAAATACTACAACATTATTTAAAGCTATATACTAAACTTGTGCACGAATCAATTTCAGCCATTTTCCTTCAGTTTCTTCAAAAAGCTGTATTGGGAAGGGCTCAGCTGCCATGTTTTTTTGCCTGAAACAGCCCAGGTAGCTGCTGGGCATGGCTTCTTCCCTACTATTCTGAAGCACACAGCGCATAGTTCCTTAACCCCATTCCTCAAACCCAGGCTCCCTTGAAAGGAAGAAAAGAAGGTCAGGAAGGGTGCTTACTTAACCCTGTTGCTCAAACCCAGACTCCAAAGGAAGGGAGGAGGGAGGGAGGGAGGGAGGGAGGGAGGGAGGGAGGGAGGGAGGGAGGGAGGAAATGTGCCCAGGAAGGATGCTTCCTTAACCCCATTTGTCAAACCCAGACTCCCATGAAAGGAAGAAAGGAAAGGGTCCAAAGAAGGGTGCTTCCTTAACTGTTGCTCAAACCCAGACTTCCTTGAAAGGAAAGGGCCCCAGGAACAATTGCTGTAAATGGGCCAGATCTTCCCAGATCTTTCGGCTGCCTAGCCAAAAAGAGATATTTCCATTAGCTGATTTTTGGGAGGGTCCTGAAAACGGATCTGAATACTCAATGAAATTAAGATACCAAAAACAGATCACCATTCAGCCAAATTGCACAGGCCTATTATATACAGTAGGCTCTCAGTTAAACAGAAACAATAGGGATTATCATATGGTAGATTAATGTAGTTTCTGGTTGCCGGAGAGCAACTATTAAAAATAGACCTAACTGATATCATATACCATACTATATCATACCATTAACTCTGTATTGGTTTAATATTAATATTGAAATTTAGCGATTAAAAGCAAATAAAGATAAATTCAATTTAATGTAACATAGTTTCACTATGTATTTTAATTTTTGTTTAAAATATTATTTCTTTCATTTTTTGTCTGTTGCTTAAGAGATCTGGTAGGTTGAATTCCGATTAAATGAGAGTGTACTGCATCTTTATATGCAGCTGTAATGTAAATTTGTCAGATTATGAAAACAGCTGAAAAAGCTAGTTTTAAGTACTAATGCTAGACAGACTACAACTCAAACAATCATGAAAAAGATGAGAAACAAAAAACTGTGTGACGAATGCTTGAGTGACTTTCATGTGCTCCAGATAAATATTCATATGTATGATATATTGTAATCACACAAGAATTCTCATCAGAAAATGTCCAAGGAGGTTCCTTGGGAAACAAATTACTTCCATAGAGCAAGAGCCTTTTTTAAAGTATGTAAAAACACACACACACAAGATGGATTACATACTTCTGTCATATATGAACCCAGTAGAAAACTTGTCTTACAGAGACTGGTTCGAAAGTTCTTGATATGGGAATCATGTTTTTCAAACACAAACTAGAGAGGATTTCAGTTTTTTAACCCCACCGCTGTGAAAACGTGAGGCGGAAGATGTGTTCAGTACAGCCATTCAAATTATGGTATACTTAGATTTAGAAAGCAGTGCTGTAATTTTTTTAAAAGGGAAGTATTTCTCAAGTATCTTTATGGCTACATTGAAATCTCATATAGAAAGTCAATGAAAAATAGTGGATAGCCTCAAACTACTGCTCAGAATTAAGCTTATTGGGTGGTCTTACATCCTGTATATCTTGTGAGTCTTAAATTGTCCCGAATGTATCGCTGGTGGGCTGCAGAACTTGTCTAGGTGGGATGCAGGGTTTTCACAATGCTAAGACTTGATTATCCTTGTATTTTATTCTTACTGTAACTGCATTATTACAGATTTCAACTATAAATAAAATTACTACTTTCTATGTCCTTAAAATGGACAATTAATATAATATTAATATAACAAAATGTTTGTTTAAATATCTAAATGTTCTTCTCAAAAAAAGGTGAGGAGTTTCTTGTTCTTACTCAGGCTGACAGAATGGGTGGCAGGGTATAAGAAAAGATAAATTGAGAAGCACTGTCTAATCTTACTTTCTAGATGTGTTTTAATATAAGAAAAGGACAACCTCATGTAAACTGTCTAAAAAGGAAGTGTGGATTCATACTGTAAACTGCCAAACAGAAAGGCAAGTGAATGAATATTAGTGTAAGACTGTTGGAAATGACAATGTTCTTCAAGCCTTCTCTAGTAATCTGTTTATCTATTATCCTGTTGCTTACTGTTTGTATGTATGTTCTGGTATGTAGCTTCCTTTTCTCTATGGTTCTTGAGATGTTGTAGGAGGGGCTGCAGACCACATGTGCTCTCTTCTCTCTCCTTTAGACTATGTGACCTGTTAATAGCTATTGTGTTATAAGAGAAATGCCCTGGCTGGATGGCACAGAGAATTATCTCAAACATATTTGAAACTGGACTGATACGTTTTGTATCTGGGTATACTGAACACACATGAAGGTTGCGAGTAAAGCAAATATGTTATTTTTATCAAAGTCAACTTCATTTATGTCTCTTGACTGCATTATAAAAAACAAGTTGTTTTATGGGAGAGAAAATATATATTTGGGCAATGTAACACACTTCTAAAGCTCTACTGTTTTTATGCACTGACAAATCTCTGTTTTCCTAACAGATAAGAGATAACAGGTTATTCAGTCTAACAACTGAAACCATTGCCTTGCATAATTATATCTGGTTGTATTCTACAAGAGAAGATCATACTCTAAAGGGTTTTAGGCTCTTCTCTGAAAGGTCTTGTTTTTCTTAAAAGTTATGATCTCCAAAAGGTGTTTTTTCAAAAGGTTATAAGTGCCATTTTCCAAAAAAAGACAGAACTACTAAAGGTGCTTCATCTCACAAGGCAAAAATATGAAACTGTGGCAGGTTTTCTAGCTTAACAATAAATGGTCTGGAAATATAAGTGGGGCATCTGTCAATTTATCTCCTGTTTTATATAGATATAAAACAAACCACTTACTGAGAATCAGAATAACTGTTAAAGTGCTTTCTCCTATTTCCAACTGAGAAAAAAATCATCTGACTTTTTAATACTACAACCAAATACGGCAGATGATATTTGCTCTGGGCATTGGATTAGTACAAATACTAATTGTATTTGCACTGCCATACCTTCCAAATACAAAAGAAAATGCTATGGATGTTCTCATGAAGACAGATTTCTTTAACCAAGATCCTTTCCAGACAGGCCCTATATCCCAGGATCTGATCCCAGGTTGTCTGTTTATCCCAGATTATCTGGCAGTGGGGACTCATATAACCCAGTTTAAAGCAGAAAACCTGGAATCAGATCCTGGGATACAGGGCCTGTCTGGAAGGGTCCTATATCAAAGAAAAAATGAAACAAACAGACAGGGCTCTCCAGGCCAATGGATACTCCACCTCAGACATCAGAAGAGCTGCAAGACCAAGAACAAGCCACGAGAGTAAAGATGAAGATCCACCCAGAGGAAAAGTGTTTCTGCCATACATCAAGGGAACCACTGATCGCATAGGGAAGCTGATGAGGAAACACAACATACAAACAATCTACAAACCCACCAAGAAAATCCAACAAATGCTACGTTCAGCAAAGGACAAGAGGGATCCTCTCACCTCTGCAGGAGTCTACCGTCTACCATGCAGCTGTGGACAAGTCTACATAGGGACCACCAAACGCAGCGCCCACACATCAAGGAACATGAAAGGCACTGCAGACTACTTCAACCAGAGAAGTCAGCCATAGCAGAGCACCTGATGAACCAGCCTGGACACAGCATATTATTTGAGAACACAGAAATGCTGGACCAAACCAACAACCACCATGTCAGACTACACAGAGAAGCCATTGAAATCCACAAGCATGTGGACAATTTCAACAGAAAGGAAGAGACCATGAAAATGAACAAAATCTGGCTACCAGTATTAAAAAACTCTAAAATTATAACAGCTAAACAACAGAGAGGGAAAAAACCAGGCACAGATTAACACCTCCCAGCAACAGATTTTCCCAGGCTCAGGCAGGCCTTCAAATGCTAATGAAGGTGATCAGCTAAACATTCACACCTAACTGCAGCAGGGAAGAGCTCCTTGCCCCACCCCAGCCATTCCACAGATATACAAACCCATTTTTCCTACTTCCAACAGACCTCACAACCTCTGAGGATGCTTGCCATAGATGCAGGCGAAACGTCAGGAGAAATGCCTCTAGAACATGGCTCTATAGCCCGAAAAAACCCACAAGAACCTAGAAACAAACAGAGTTTGAAGATAAAATCGTTGGCAATTCTACAGCAATGCCATGGCAAGTCTTTGAAAACTATGAAGCGCTTATTGATGAGTAAACCAATACAATACAGAATCTGCATGCCAAGGCATCACAACTTGCCCCAAGGATATTTTAAAATGAAAACTGGCTATCAACATAATTGTAGTGTAAGACCAGCTCTTCTCGAGGGTCAGGGAAATTTTAGACTTTAATTTAAGCTAAGATGTGAGCTTCAATTCACAATCAAACTACGGTATCTTTCTCTTTCCTACTTCCATTTTTCTTCAGTCCTGATTAAAAGCAAACTTATACATGACTTTGTCTGGCAAAAACAAAAACTACTTGTTCTTTCTTAATTGTTTTTCTTTCGGAAATTCTTGCTTGGATTCAATGAAACATACAGCTTTAATGTTTAATATTACAGTTAAGCAAAATTTGATTTTAAAGATGCTAAGAATTTACTTTAAGATCTTTAAGACTTATTCCGAAACGGGTATTTTGTTTCTCACCTGCATGATTAATAATTAATCATTTTCCGTAGAGCATCATAACATTTCCATTTGTCTGGAATATAGAACGGCTCAAAGATGTGAGGAAATGGAGTGTCATAACCACACACTCGTGAAATCGGAGCCTCAAGATTCAAAAAGCATTCCTCCTGTTAATTAAAAGAGAGAGAAAGAGAGACGGTGAGAAATATCAACAAGTTCCACATCCATCCTTCACATGTTACTATCATTTAATGCATTCTGATTACCAAATGAAAAAGGAGAGTGGCAGCTGCTATCTTGCTCTGTCATACCAAATGACACTCCCAGACTGGAAGGCATAGTAGAGGACAACTACAAGTATCAATGTGGCTAATGTCATGATTTTTGTGTGTGTGTCAGGAGCAACTTGTGAAACTGCAAATCACTGCTAGTGTGAGAGAAATGGCCATCTGCAAGGATGTTGCCCATGGGACGCCCAGATGTTTTACCATCCTGTGGGAGGCTTCTCTTATGTCCCTGCATAAGAAGCTGGAGCTGACAGACAGGAGCTCACCCCGCTCCCCAGATTTGAACCACTGACCTTTCGGTCAACAGTCCTGCCAGCAAAAGTGTTTAACTCACTGCATCACCAGGGCTCTAATGTCAAGATAAGCCAAAAGGATGTCAAGTTGTGAATGTGTCCGGAGATGAAAGAAAAGTTTAAAGCTGCACATTTTGTTTTATAAGAACACAAAACACGAGAAGCATGAATCCAGGGAAGTAAAACATATCAAACAAGAAAGGAAATGTATAAATATTGTAATATTTAGTAAGCAAAATGAACAGGAATTAACACATTGAGTTTGATTTAAAGTTTACTTTAATTATTATCATTAAAGAATACACAGCAGGCTTACATTTTCATTGCCTGAGCATCAGAAATAAAACTATCCCTCCGCAAATGTCACTTTATGGCCTGCTTCCCACAAGGATCATCCCAAGGTCTACCTGGAGGCAACAATTGTCATCACCACCACCATACTCAGCAATACCTGCCTTTCTCGCAATAATGGGAGTCATGGCAGCTACCCACATGTAATACAAAACCAGAATGATAGGGTAAGATTTATAATTAAAAATCAGCATAAAAGGTCCAACCCTCATTATTTTGAAAAAGTCTGATGGTACAAAAATGGCCTCTTTAAGGCGTTCCAAATCTGGGAGCAGCAACGAAGAAGACTGACTGCCATGTTTTTACCAAACAAACCCGAGAAGATAGTGAAAGCGAAGAGCCTCCCCAGATGATAATAGAGCTGTAATGGCTTCATACATGAAGACACAGTTCTCTAAATAACCTGGACTAATGCTGTACAGAGCTTTATAGGTCAAAATCAGTGCTCTGAATTGTGCCTGGAAATGGACTGGCAGCCAATGCAGCTGTTGCAACAGGGTGGCTGCATGCTCCCTGTAGTCAGACCCAGTTGACAACCTGGCTGCAACTCCTTGGGCCAATGGAAATTTCTGAGCACTTTTCAATGGCACCCCCATCTATAGCACATGGCAGTAATCCAAACATGATCTAATTAAGGCATGCATCACTGTGACCAGATCTAACTTCTCTAGAAGAAGCACAATTGGGACACTGGTTTTATCTATGCAAAAGGACTCCTGGACAAAGCTCAAAACTTGGGATCTCCAGGCAAGGAGCTGAATCCAGGAGTATGTAGTTTGCAGTATCTGCATTTCCTAATGTAGTGTAACTCCAATTAATACAGGCTGTATCCCCATTCCCAAATTTGTTTTTTGACTGACCAGGAGCACTTCTGTCTTATCTTGATTAAGTTTCAATTTGTTAGCACTCATCCCGTCCATTGCAGCTACCAAACATGGGTTTAGAATGAGAACAGTTTCCATGGAATTAAATGGAAAGAAGCCATCCAGTGCTGTGCCTCATCAGTAAACAGTGACTCTCAAAACTCTGTGCAACCTCTCCTGGCAGTTTCATTCAAATGCTGAGGCTCTCTGCTGGCAAATGGTCAAAGAGTCAAGCAGGAATACCACAACATCACCTTCTGAAAGCACTCCTTCACAAAAGAACAGAAACAATGTACAGGCAGTCCCCAAGTTATGAACAAGAAAAGTTATGTAGGTTTTTCTTAAGTTGAATGTGTATGCAAATCTGATCAGATACATTTTTTAAACGTAACTCCAGCCAAACCCCAATTTTTAAGCTATGGATAGCACAGGAAAGGGTTAACATCCCCATGGTATCTGTTTTTCTGTCTGTGCCACTGTTCAGAAGATTTCACCTCACTTTTGTTCTCTGTGATAATTGGATTTTGAAAAAAGTGATTGTTGTGGAAGCAAAGATTGGTGATAAATATTCAATGGAGACACCTGTCCATGATAAATCTTTCAGGGGTGAATTTCCCTTCCTAGAGGTCAATTTCTCCCACCTCCTGTTGCCTCACCCCCAATTCCTAATGATGAGTTGTTTGTAATCTGGATGTTTGTAACTCAGGAATGACAATACATGAATATCACCAAGGCACATGTGAGACAATTCAGAAAGGTATCAGTGAAAGTCACTGAGAGGCCAGCAGAAGCAACAAGGAAACATATCCAGTTCTCTGCATAGGTCATCCCCCAAGACGACGAACTAGGTCTGATACCAAATTGGCATGAATTTAGATAAGCTGCCTTATCTAGAAACCCTGGAGTTGAGAAGCCATTGCACGTTCTAGTACCTTGAACAAAAATGGAAGAAATTGCTTTTAGTTATTATTAGAGTTAGTATATATAAAAAAGAGATTATACCACAGCCTTCTTGATGCATGCTAGGATCTTATTGTGTTGTAGAGAGGCATTAGCCACTCCCCTTCCCCACTCAGCCAGTCCTTTTCTGGCCTGCTTAATGAGCCAGGAAGTGGGAGGGCCCAATATATATATATGAGGGCTCTCTCCTCTCCAAGGATTCTGTCTATGACCTCAGGCTGGACAAAAATATCCATCAACACTAGACAAGACCAAGTTTACATCTGCCAGAGCTGCATTAACTCTGATATCTTAAGTAGAGCAAATCCACTTTTAAAGTGTTTAACTTGACACTGACCACTTTGATATACCAGCAAAAGATTAAAATTGTGTCTCCAAACTGTGCAGTCATGATAGACAATGTCTTAACCAGACATCAATATTAGTCAGCCCGTGTTAGCTGCCTTGTGGCACCATGATATTTAAGAAATACTTTAATGGAATAATGAAATGTTCTTAAGATTAGTATGAATGTAATGCTGTAAAACAGCTTAATTTAAGATAATACTTTTACAAGCTGTTTTTATCAACACTTTCCCTTTCAAACAGATAAAAGCAACTCATAATATTGCAATTAATAAATCTATTCAATAAAATTTTATCGTCCTGTTTAAAATTTTGAGTTTTTATTTTCTTTTAAGCAGAAGTTTCAGTGTGAAAACCAGCTGACAAAGATGAACTTGGAAAGAAAGCTGCTAGTTCACATTTTAAATGACACAATGAAAATTAAATCAAATGGAATGGAATGGAATGGAAATTAAACAAAAATGAAACGCAGCATCAGATTGAGGATACTTCCCAGAGCACTGTTCTTCCTTTTTCTTTTTTAAAAAAGTCTTTCTTAGAAATGCTGCATGCCTAAATTTGTCTTTCAATAATATGACATAATTTCACATTATTGCAGCACATTAATATTTGTGTGTGATGTTGATGTAATATTTTACAAACAATGCACTCTGAAGCACTCTAGAAAATTTTCCATTTAAAAACTGTTCCCTAGTCCCACATGACTTCCATCTTTTTCCACTTGGCAGAACAGCAGAAAAATATTAACAGAGGGGGAAAAGATCAGATGAAACAGATGTAATGTTCTGTAGGATGGAAGTATGAAAATGAGAAAGAGACAGTCCTGCCCATTCTAGCTGTAGTGGAAATGAGTCCCTGGCTCTTCTGATATATCAGAATTAAAGGGGAGGGAGATGCATGGCAAAGTAGTCTACTGCACAAGATGGTATGATATTCAAAATGAACTCATCCAACCAACTGTCAGAATAGAAAGGCACATTCCATCGACAGGATTCTCATCCAACAAAAATTGACAGAATCTGCAGGGAGGGCAGCAACTTTCATTCCCTATGTTCGAGACTCCCCAACATTTGGCCACTGCTACTTAAACTGTGGATCCTAACAACAAATGGAGTCCTCTTAACTCAGTGTTGGAGTCTTGAAACATCTGGCAAGAGTAAAAGTTTTCAGAACATTACCTAGTGGCTGTTTTAGACATTTATGTAGATCTGTTGTGCAGTGTTTACAGTGGACTCTACAGAAGATGCTTAAGCTGTTTAGCAAGCCTTACAAATGCTTATTTATTAAAAGTAAATGTTTGATTTTATATCTATTTTATATACCTATATACTGGCGTGCAGCCCCCGGTGGCGCAGTGGGTTAAACCGCTGAGCTGAACTAGCTGACCGAAATGCCAGCGGTTTGAATCTGGGGAGCAGGTTGAACTCCCGCTGTTAGCCCCAGCTTCTGCCAACCTAGCAGTTTGAAAACATGCAAATATGCGTAGACAAATAGGTACCGCTTCAGCAGACAGGTAACAGCAGTCATGCCGGTCACATGACCCTGGAGGCATTTACGGACGATGCCAGCTCTGAAGATGAAATGAAGATGAGAAGCGTCAGATACAACTACATGTAATATCAGGGGAAACCTTTACCTATACCGGGGTCACATAAACATTTCTTAGGCCAAAAGTCATCATATATGGAAAAGTTTAAGAAGCCCTGATTTCGATAGCTCTCCAAAAGGTCTGATTACAGGTGGGACAACTTAAAACTGTGTTCCCTAGCATTTCCAGTAGCAGGACTTAGAATCATAGAATCATAGAATCAAAGAGTTGGAAGAGACCTCATGGGCCATCCAGTCCAACCCCCTGCCCAGAAGCAGGAATATTGCATTCAAATCACCCCTGACAGATGGCCATCCAGCCTCTGTTTAAAAGCTTCCAAAGAAGGAGCCTCCACCACACTCCGGGGCAGAGAGTTCCACTGCTGAACGGCTCTCACAGTCAGGAAGTTCTTCCTCATGTTCAGATGGAATCTCCTCTCTTGTAGTTTGAAGCCATTGTTCCGCATCCTAGTCTCCAAGG